TCCGCCTCTGGCTTGACCAGGAATCTTGCCTTTCTGGAGCTTTCCCATTATGGTGGCATTGGATTTATGGGGTCGGGAGCTACAGGACCGCCGGGTTGTTATTCACTGTGCCAACCTCGGGGTTGTCCAGGCGATTAGCCAGCTCTCGGCCCTCTTTTCTCTTTCGGTACTTCTCCTGCTCCAGCGCCTGGTGCTCCGGTGCCCGTGTCTTAATGTGTCATGTAGGTCCAGTTCCTCTTGGGCCAAAGTACTCCAGGGTATGGATGGAATGGCAGGTGCGGGAGTCAGAGGTGGGTGTATTTGCGGGTGCGCCTGCTCGTTACAAGGTCTGTTGTGACTGCTGGAGCATTGGGTTTCAGCGCGTGTCCAGTTTAGTTTTCTGGTTAAGTCCCAGGGTTGGGTGGATGCCACCACAGAGTTTCTGGTATGGCATGCAGTATAGGGCCCGTACAGGGGTCCGTTTCTGTGGATCCAAAGAGGCCGGTTTTGGGGGCCCTATGGGCACAATTGTGCCAGGTGCTCCCAGAGGTATGCCTCGCCGTTTCTTCCTTTCTTTGGGGCCACGAGGATTGGGGTATTGGTGGGTCCGTGGGTTCGAACTGGTCAGCTGGTAGGGGAGGATTCTGTTGCGGATGTCCGGGATGGTCAGGACCTGGTGTCCATACGAAACCGACATCCTCAGCAAGGGCAGGTGGGTCCCGCTGGCAACGGTCCCAGGATTGGACACCTGTCTGGTCAGGGCACTCAGGGAGTCCATGGTACGGCCATCCCTGGCTGGCCCACTCATGGTATACAAGGAGGGGAACTTCCTCTCCCATTTTCAATTTGTTTGGTGGTCATTCTTTCCGCATTGGCACTGCAACGGAGGCCTCTCGGCTGGGTATGCCTAATTGGGATGTGCGGAGGATAGGACGGTGGGACTCTAGGATATTTGTTCCTGTGTGCGTCCCGCTGGTTTTCTCAGTTGATTGTTTTTTCCTTCTCGGGGCGGATGATTGAGCACTCGACGGTGGAGGTTCGGTGGTTCAGCACCGGGGGGCATGAAGTGGGATCTGGCTCCTCCCGGAAGTGGTCAGGTTCTCTCGCATGCGGGGGGGTGTCATTGGTTCTGGTCATTCCCCCTGGGGGGTAGTGACCTGGGGACGGTGCCGCTCGGAGACTTGGTGGACATAGGGAAGCGGGACTTGTCCCAGATCCTTATGTCATTTCCGGGTTTTTTTTGCATAGTGTGGTCAGAGGTTGTGGCAAGGAACTATTGGCGGCAAGCACACAGCCAGAGTGCGTTGGAGCTCTGCCACGAAGGGTTCAGCCATTGGGTTTCGCAGTTCGTTATGGGGGGTTTGAGGGATACCCATTTCATAGGGTTTTTGAGAAGAAGGCGGCAGATTTGTTGCAGCCGGATGGGGTTCATTTGACTGAGGTCAGACTCAACCCTTTTAATCTGGCCATTCGAGAGAAGGTGGAACAGACCATGGTAGGTTTGTTTGGGGTCCCCCGCTGATTTTAGGCTTAAAACAGCGGGGTTGTGGTGTGAGGATGTCCTTGCCAAATAAGGGATGGTTTGGTAGTTTAGATGAAAAAGGGGGATAATGGCTGGGTCTCATCCTCCCCCTGTCTCTTATGGTGAACCTGGAGGAGGTACCAGGTTGGACGTGTCCCCACTGGGTTGTAAGTTGACCGGTGGGGAGCATTATGGTTGGGCCCCACCGAGCGGAAAACCGGCTGGTGGGGAGCCCTGAAAAGGAAGATGTTTTTATTATGCCGATGGGGAGAGGTGAGAGCCTTGGGGAAGTTAGATTGGCAAGGACGGTTTCTTCGGTTACTGTATGACTATATGCAAATTGTTTATGTTAATTTATGATATTTATTATTTCGTTATACATTAAAGGAGTTATACAGTATTTGGTTGTGTTAATAAATTCTGTGGCCTGTTTTCTCCAAGAAGTTGTCTGTCGTTATTTGAAGGGGTAAGCTATGGTTTTATGGGGGATGAAGGGAATGCTATCCAATGCCCACTACGTACAAGCGAAACAACATTCGCTCAGAATCAATAATTATACCTAAAAATTGCAAACATGTGCCAGGCCAAACTGTCTTTTCTTTTGCCAATGGGATGCCAAATAGACATAAAATTATGAAGTAAATGAAAGCAATCTGAAGATTCAGCTTTCCCTATAAAAAGAAAATAATCCAAATAATGAATAACTGAATGTAAACCCGAAACCTTTTTAAGAACCCATTCCAGAAAACTTGAAAAACTTTCAAAATAAAAACAAGAAGCAGAACAACCCACAGGCATACATTTGTCAAAAAAAATCCTCCTTCGAATTGAAAAACCAATGAACCAAAACAGTCAGGGTGTATAGGAAGTAACCTAAAAGCTGATTCAATGTCAACTTTTGACATAAGGGCATTCTGACCACACTTCCTTACCCACTGCAGCGCATCTTCAAAAGAAGTGTAAGATACAGAAATAATGGAGGTATCCACCTTATCATTCAATGATGTACCCTTTGGGTAAGATAGGTAATGAATTAGTCTATAGGTACCTTTTTCTTTCTTAGGAACTAAACCAAGTGGAGACACCCTAAAATAAGGAAAAGATGGAACTGAATATGGGCCTTCCACTCTCCCTAAAGCTATTTCTCTATCAATTTTATCTCTAACTATACTACTATTTAACTTAACTGAACGAAGATTTTCAACAAACTGAACAGATGAATTACAAACATGAACTCTAAAACCAAATAAAAAAACCTTCTTTAATTAGCTGTGCTGTCTGTTGGTTTGGATAGCATTTTGAACTTTCACTCGGGTCCATGCTTTTAGAAATCTGTTCCATGCTTTTAGAAATCTGTTCTCTTAAAGCACCGAAAGGACAGATGACTCCCAGCACAATTAAAGCATTCATGTCTGAACCTGCAAGAATTTGGCCATTTACACTGTGAGTCATTGAAAGACCAACAAACACCTTTTAAATGTATTTGTAACCCACTCGCCTGAGTCTGCGTTCTATATTGATTCTGAGGAATCCTGCCTGGTGGCATAATGCTTACCCAAGAGCCAACATCCTTCATACCCCATTTCAAATTCTTATGCACTGATAAATTCTGATGAAATATTTCGGCATAGTTAAACCAAGCCAAACTACCCAAAATTTTGAAAGCCTCATATAGCGTCTAAATGATGAAAAAGAGTGCTAGCTTTATCTGGATGACGTTCACAGTAAACACTAGCAAAATACAAAACGCCTGAAGCTAATTATTAAAGGAACGGGGTACAGGTCGCTTCCTGTCCTCATCTCTTTCTTGCCTTAACAAAAAATTCCTTAGAGGTTGGCAATAAAGAGAGAATATCGATATAGTCATCATTCCATATTTTTGAATGACTGAGGGAGGGAGTGACAGAGTGACTGAGTGAGGGGGTGACTGGTGACAAAGTGACTGAAGGAGTGACAGAGTGACTGAGGAAGGGGGTAACAGAGGGAGGGGGCTGACAGAGTGACTGAGGGAGGGGGGTGACAGAGTGACTGAGGGAGGGAGTGACAGAGTGACTGAGGGAGGGGTAACAGAGGGAGGGGGTGACAGAGGGAGGGGGTGACAGAGTGACTGAGGGAGGAGGTGGCTGGTGACAGAGTGACTGAGGGAGGGGGTGACAGAGTGACTGAGGGAGGGGGTGACAGGGTGACTGAGGGGTGAATTTACAATAATATTATTATCTTACCATTCAGGGGCTGTCTCTCTCCAACCCAGCCCAGGGTCAGGCAGTGCAGCAGGTGCTGGCAGGGGATCTAGATCCCCTGCATGTTCAGAGTGACCGCAGGGGAGAAACCTGTCCGAATACACGCTCTGCACCCCCTGCTGGTACACTCCATAACAACCTCCCTGGTGCTCAGTGATGACTCAGAACACAGGCTGAGAATCCCCTCCCTGTGCTCTGACTCACTAACTGAGCGCTGGAGCCGCGAGGGAGAGGCTTATTATTGCTGAACCAGCAGGAGGTACAATGTGTGCCTCCCCCCCCCCCCTTAGTACGCCACTGCTTGGGGTATATGATTTCTGATAGCAATATCCTGTGAGGTTCCGTCCAGCACCACCTTCACCAGATACATGACGCTTGGGAGGTCTGACTGTTTTAGTGTTTTCTGTTGATAAGATTCAGGAATTAGGCCCATCATATTTGTCAACACCAGCCCTTGTGCACAAATGCTTTTCATCTAGGACAAAGGAATCGAAAGAATAGATCAGTTCGGGCACAGATTAAAAGGAAAATAATAAAATTAATTTAAAAAACACAAAACTAATTCACATATCATTCTAAATTATTAAAAGCAGTTAAAACATATAAAAGATTTTCCCTATAATTCTATAAAATTATATAAAGTAAAGTCAGCACTAAAATAAATATTTAAATAAATCCAATACTTAAAAAAAAACTTCTATAGGAAAGTTAGAATAATCATTAAATACTGTGTAGAGTTCTTCTTACTAGTCCTTTGCAATATTTCCACGTCAATGAAACATTAAAGTTTGTACCCATAAAATGAATCAATCGGGATCAGTAAAAAAAATAAATTACAGATTAAATGGCATTAGAATTTTTCATATACATTGAAAAACATTTGTGCATTTGTCCACCCTCAGGATTTTTCTGTAACCATCAAACAAGAAACTATAGTATTTGGGGCATTCTTCAGGTTATTTAAGGGGTCTGAGTAACGTGTTTATATTAAATATTTGATTAATTGTTTACTGCATTATTCATTCAGAGCACATTTTGTCAGATATTCAGCGATGCACTTGAGGACTAGGAGGACCTGTTTCTAGTAGGACCTGTTTTCTGGACCTGTTTCTAGGAGGACCTGTTTTCTGGACCTGTTTCTAGGAGGACCTGTTTAAAAATTGAATTTGAAGCTTTAGGCAATTGCTAAAACGTTTTACATCCTGAAGCAGGTGGCTTACCTGTCAATCAAGCCACGTGCCATTTTCATTGTGAATGGAGAAGTGTATAAATAAGAAGTGATTTCAGACAGGATTTACTCCTCTGGCTGATCTTTCCTCCAAGATGAAGTTCTACATCTGCCTGACCCTGATGATGCTGGATGTCGCTGCAGGTAACCTTTTTTCCTTTGCTTCTCATCCCATTTCCAGCTGCACCTTCCCCTGCTTTCCCCCTATTTTTTTACCAGCATATTGATCCCCTAAACTCCGAATTCCATTATTTCAACAGGAACTCTCACTTTCCAATTGATTATTAGGTATACTTTCCTTATAATTTAGAAATACAGATTTGTGAGTTATTATACATTAATTAAAGGGACACTGAAGGCCCAGTACAACTTTATTGCATTTGGTAGGCTTTGGCCTCATTAATATGCTGTATATTTTGCATGCTCACATCTTTATACATTTTGCACAAAAAGCACACAGTCTTGACATAAAGCTCCCAAACTGTAAGTTGTTTGCATGTATGTGGATTGTTAGTTGTGTTGCATATGTGCAGATTGTGTGTATGTTTGTGTGTGGGATGTTTGTATTATTGTATAAGGGGAGGGTTGTTGTGCATTTCTGTGTATATCTAGCAGTGTGGATGGCTTCCCTGAAGTCCAGTGGGGACCATGATGGCCAGGTACAGGTCAAGGACAGGAGCTGCAACAGCAGCTGCGGGCTGCTGTACTCCAGTGGGGAGTCCCATTCACAAGTGCTACAATGCATAAATTGATGATTTTCCTTCACCACCTTTTCGTATTAGCAGATATCTGAAGTTTCACTGGGATTCCTGATAGGCCAGACACTGTTTGACTCTGGTAGCTTTGAGTGCCATGCAAAGGCACCTTGAGTGCCGTGCATGGCACATGTGCCATAGGTTGCCTACCCCTGTGCTAGCAGAATGCTTTGTTGTATACAATGAGGTATTAGCAGTAGAAAGAGAGAAGTGCTCATGCCGTTGTACAGAACACTGGTGAGACCTCATTTGGAGTATTGTACGCAGTGCTGGAGACCGTATCTTCAGAAGGATATTGATACTTTGGAAAGAGTTCAGAGAAGAGCTACTAAACTGGTTCATGGATTGTAGGATAAAACTTACCAGGAGATTTTAAAGGATCTTAACATGTATAGCTTGGAGGAAAGACGAGAAAGGGGGGATATGATAGAAACATTTAAATATATAAAGGGAATCAACACAGTAAAGGAGGAGACTATATTTAAAAGAAGAAAAACTATCACAACAAGAGGAAATAGTCTTAAATTAGAGGGGCAAAGGTTTAAACATAATTTCAGAAAGTATTACAGAGAGGGGGATGGATGCACAGAATAGACTTGCAGCTGAAGTGGTAGAGGTTAACACAGTGAAGGAGCTTAAAGGGACACTATAGTCACCCAGACCACTTCAGCTCAATGAAGTGGTCTGGGTGGCAGGTCCCTCAGGTTTTAACCGTTCAGATGCAAACATAGCAGTTTCAAAGAAACTTACATTTGGGGTTAATCCAGCCTCTAGTGGCTGTCTTCCAGACAGCCACTAGAGGCGCATCTGCGACACTGGAGGCAAATTTCGCCTCCATCAAGCAGAGCGTCCATTGGAAAGCATCGAGAAATGCTTTCCTCTGGACACTTTGAATGCGTGCACGGCACTTACGCATTCAGCTCAGCTGACAATGGACGGGGGACCTGACGTCGGACGGGGAGGAGAAGTCACCAGCGCCGAGGGAGCCCGGCACTGGAATAAGGTAAGCTGCTGAATGGGTTTTAACCCCTTCAGAGCCAAGGGAGTGGGACCCTGAGGGTGGGGGCACCCTCAGGGCACTATAGTGTCAGGAAAACCGCTTTGTTTTCCTGACACTGTAGTGATCCTTTAAGCATGCGTGGGACAGGCATAAGGCTATCCTAGCTAAAAGATGAAGCCAGGGACTAATGAAAGTATTTCGAAAATTGGGCAGACTAGATGGGCCTAATGGTTCTTATCTGCCAACACATTCGATGTTTCTATTTGGACAACTTGGGCGCTCCGATCAGGGCTGTTCAGATATGTAGGATGTGAAGAAACGACACCTTTTGTTTCGTTAACTTAGATTTTTCTCTTAGTGTAGATAAAGCTACCGAACACCGACCATCCCTCTGGCTCATTAACTACAAAGCTAATTGCAGATTAGATAAGGGCTCTCCCTGTGTGGCCACTGTTCATATGGCCGAACACCACATTTTGGTGAAATGGCGGCCATATTGCCACACGAAAAGAGGCAGCGGGACTTGGTCATTGAGTGTCTGGAACTAAAATCAGACACTCGACTTCCCGAACGCCGGTCAACTTTGCGAACTCCTGCTTCTTTTAACCAACCAGCCAGTAGAGTGCTATTCAGTAGGTTTGTTCCCACGAACTAGGGGAACAAACGCTACCCCCATGAGCCAGGGGAACAGTTTGTGGATTTGTTCAGTTTTAGAATGCCCCAAAATAGACTGATCGCTACCTCTGAAACTGTGGAATTGTTTTGGGCATAAGACTTTGTGTGCGGTCAGTCAAATTATGAATTCCTTGGAAATCCCAAACCCCTGAACCGATCTGGGTGATTTTTGGATATGTTGGTCCCCCATATTGGGGCTATCGAGGGATGTGAATGTTGTGGGGTTTCCATGTGTTTTGCGGGTACGTTAGTACAGTTCCTGACTCAATTATCTCACAGGCACAGGGGAGGGATTATCTTGTTTTGTGTGGGAGTGTCCTGAACCTGAGATCTAATGTATTTACTTTCAGGTCCAGTGGGGAATGCCCTTGGATTATGTCACAGTAGACCACTTGCATATAAACTGGCCAGTTGGCCTGAATAAATTCACTCCTGTTGTACCCTTCATCTAGTTTAGGCTGATGTTTGGGTATACGTCTGATTGCTTGGGGAAGTTACTGGGATACTGCATTTTTTTCTGCAGAACATCCGACTCCATACCCGAACTGCGAGCTATAATATCTCAGCCTTTAGCAGTTCGGGAGGTAACGAAAGTGAATGGGTATCTGAAATACCAGCTTTCCTAGCATAGCACATGTAGTGTAATTGTGTGTTTTTATTATGTTTTTAGGTACTTTTATGTTTTTGTGTTTGGCTCTCTGTTCCTAGGAGATAATCGGCTTACTGGTCTTTAATTCAATTACCTCCCAGGCACAGATATATCTAGGAGATAGAAGCTGTATCCCCCACCCTGTTCCAGGGTGGGAAGCGACGGCGAGACCCCAGGCAAGCTTCGGTGGCTCGGGGCTGGAGCACTGCTGGTGTCCTGGTGATAGTTAGGGAGCGTGTTTGGCGGAGCTACCCAGTCGGGGTACCAGACGGTCTGCCACAATGCCTCTTAGAGGGCTCCACTAAAGTCCTTCGTTATTAAAAAAATTTGGCACCTTTGTATACTCCACTCTGACAATTAAGTGCAGGGCAGTTATGGGCTAACATCACAATCTACGCGTTTCATCCTTGAAAGAACATTATCAAGGTGACACAAAAATATAATTTAACAGTTTTGCCATGTTCTTCCCAATCAAAGTGCACTTCTCCTTTTATATTTAGACAAAAAATACATATAATTTATAAAGAAATAATAGTGTGTGTGTGTGTGTGTGTGTATAGATGTATGTGTATATATATATATATATATATATATAAAATCTAGAGGGTTTTTTTTATTTTTCTGGAAATCAAAAATCCAAGCAATCACATAACAGCAATTAGATGGAAAAGCAATAATTAAATTGAAACATTTTGGTAAAAGTTTGATCAATATCCCTCAACCTAAACACTCACAGCTCTTTCTGTTTATACCCAGGCCTGCAGTGTACTCTGGTTCCTGGAAAACTGAAGCAGATAGATGCTGGAGCCGGACAGGTTTATGGGGTCAACGATGCCGATGACATATTCCGTTTGAATGGTAAAAACTGGGTACAGGTTCCAGGAAAACTGATACATGTCAGTGTAGGTCCATCTGGCGTTTGGGGTGCAAACAGACAGAACAACATCTTCAAGATTCAAGATGGCAACTGGGTGCAGGTAGCAGGTAAGAGTATACTGATATATAAAATATAACCCCTTAAGGATGGAAGCAATTGTATAGATTCTGTTCAAAAACAAAATGTAAACAAAAACTCAGAATTGAAGCTACATGTCTGTTCAACCATAATTCAGCTCTTTCATTTTCAGTGTACCCACACTTATTATATACCATTTTGTTCAAGAGAAACATGGCTTTAATTTCACATCATCTAATTATATATGAAACATAATTTATTATGAACAAAATCTAAAAAGTGTTAGATATTAAGATTTCTTTGTTAGTTCTGCATGGCTTTTTATCTGTGAATGTCATAATACTGTAAAATTTTATGGCTATAAAATACATATATTTATATTCAGAGATGTCTCACGAGTACAGCAGTACCCCCATGTACAGGTTTTGAGTGTTTTGGAAAGTTACAGGGTCAAAATTGAGGCAGATTGAGTTTGCCAGATTGGTTTGCGGGGCCTATGTTGTCTTTGAGATCATATGGCAGCCCAGCAATGAGAATTACCCACATCATGGTAGACAACCCACGGAATTCAGTATGGGGTGTGGATGGTCTTTTTTTTAGAAGCCACTTGGTCACAAACGCTGGTCAAAGTTGGCTTTCATATTTGTTTGTGTGTAAAAAAAATGCAAAAAAAAATAAATATGAGGGCTAAGTTTGGCCAGCCAGTGTTTGTGACCAAGTAGTTACAAAAACAGACTGGACATAACCCATTTGCTATACCTTGGGTCATCTGCTTTTCAAATCATATTCCATCATAGGGGTAATTTATACACCGCCTTCTGCATTGTCTGCTTGTTTTTTTTTTCTCCCTCTCCCCCTCACTCTGCTCTTCAGAAAGATCTTTATGACCCTCTGCAAGAATGGTGTCTATTTTGTATCAAACCTTTGTCTTATCTGCACTCATGTCGCTTTAAACCCTATATCACAAATCAGCTTTGAATTCTATGTGTCGTCTTGCTCAGAAATGCTTCAGACTAGAGAAAGGGAGATTCTCCCAAAAGCTTGTCATTGAAGAATTCTGCTAGTCCACTAAAAAAAGGTATTACTATTATTTTTTTTATTTATTGAATACATATATATATATATATATATATATATATTTATATATAAACAAAGGCTTGGCACTCACCTTTAAAGTATAAAGACAAACATTTACCCCGGTGCCATCCCCGTTTAGTAGATAATCCGATAATCCAAAAATAAAGAGGGTGTACTCCAGGGGATTTTGGTGAATAAACTTGTTATTTTTTATTGCATATTAGTAAAAAAATAATAAAAAAATCGACGTTTCGACCCCAATGCAGACCTTTCTCAAGATCAATAAGTGAAGTGAACATACAATGAATACAAATAGTGTAAAATAAAGTGACTTACCAATCCAAGTGCTGCTCCACCGTGTACCCGAACTCGGAAATGTTTATGCAGGACACGTGATCCCCCCCATGTTGTCATGAAGTGCAACGCCAAGCTTCATACTGTTGGTTGCTAAGTAACATAGAAACAGCCGAGTTGTAGAAAAAAAGCTATATGTGACCACTACGTGAAGAAGTGAATCAATGTAAAGTGTATATCTATATTATATAAACAGAATATGGAGGATATAATGAGAAATAAATATTATATATAGTAAGAAATAGAGTAATGTGCCGCCTCAATAGGTGGGAGCATAACATCGTGAACGAACAATGTGAGCACAGTGAAATAGGTGAATGGTGATCAGAATGAAAAAAAGCCAAATAAAAATAAAACCAACTCCCATCAATCAGAGGCAGGCAAGATTACATCAAAACAATATGTATATAACACAACTTGTGCAGCAGTCGCCAATTCTGCTGTATTAAAAATACCTAAATCATCTAAAAGGTAAATCAAGGAAGAATATTGAATTCCAAGTACAAATTATAAATATACAATGTATGCATGCGAATATTCTGTTTATATAATATAGATATACACTTTACATTGATTCACTTCTTCACGCAGTGGTCGCATACAGTGGCGGATCCAGAGCCTGATCTCGGGAGGGGCACTTGTAGATTATTTAAAGAAATAATCCAGACACAATAACCACTACAGCTCAGTGTAGTGGTTATGGTGTCAATAGTGCCGGGACCCCCTCCCACAGTAAGTAGTCAAACCGTTTAAGAACAGTTTGACAACTTACCTGAAATCTGCTGGGAAATGGGGCTGTAGTAAGGTATAGGAGCAGTGGTGTGTGTGAGTGGTGCAATGTGTAAGGGGTGCAGTGTGTGTGTGTGTGTGTGAAGGTTGTAGTGTGTGAGTGAGGGCGGCAGTGTATGTCAGGGATGCAGTGTATGTGTGTAACAGTTGCAGTGTGTGTGAGTATTGCAGTGTGTGTGTATGGGGGGCAGTATGTGTGTATGGGGGAGCAGTGTGTGTATGGGGGCAGTTTGTGTGTATGGCGGGCAGTTTGTGTGTATGGCGGGCAGTGTGTGTGTATGGCGGGCAGTTTGTGTGTATGGGGCAGTTTGTGTGTATAGGGGCAGTGTGTGTGTATGGGGGCAGTGTGTGTGTGGATAGGGGCAGTGTGTGTATGGGGGCAGTGTTTGAGTATGGGGGGCAGTGTGTGTGTGGGGGCAGTGTGTGTGTATGGGGGGCAGTATGTGTGTATGGGGGCAGTATGTGTGTGTATGGGGGGCAGTTTGTGTGTATGGGGGGCAGTTTGTGTGTATGAGGGGCAGTTTGTGTGAATGGGGGGGCAGTGTGTGTGAATGGGGGGGCAGTTTGTGTGTATGGGGGGCAGTATAGGGGGCAATGTATGTGTGTGTGATCAGGGTATGGTGGTTTTTTTTTTATTATATAATATTTTTTAATTTAATTAAAATAAATAAATATTCTATGTCCCCCCTCCCTTCTTACCTTTACTGGGGAGGAGGGGGGACAGATTTCGTTCCCTGGTGGTCCCAGTGGTGATTCATTGGTGGTCCCAGTGCTGAGAGTGAACTCTAACCCGCACTCCCGGGCTAGAGTTCACTCTCGCGAGATTTGGAGCGTTGCCGTGGTAACCGTGGCAACGCTCCAAATCTCGCGAGAGGAGGACCCGGAGGAGCTGCAGACTGAGCTCCGGGTCCTCCATCTCCCTCCCCTGCCGGCTGTCAGCACAGTGCCTGCGGACCGGGGAGGGAGAGCTCTGATCTCCCTCCGGTCCGCAGGCACATTGCAGGGCTAGCACCTGCATGTGCAGGCAGGGGAGGGAGACCGGCGGATTTCTCGGGGGGGGCAATTGCCCCGTTGCCCCCCCCCCTGGATCCGCCACTGGTCGCATATAGCTTTTTCCACTCGTTGTTTGTTTCTTTGTTACTTAGCAACAGACAGTATGACGCTTGGCGTTGCACATCACATGTCACGGGTTGGGGGGGGTCACATGTCCCTCATGAACACTTCTGGGTTTGAGTACACGGTGGAGCAGCACTTGGATTGGTAAGTCACTTCATTTTACACTGTATATAATCATTGTATGTTCACTTCACTTATTGATCTTGAGAAAGACCCGCATAGGGGTCTAAACATTGATTGGGACAGTGTGTATTTTTTCGCTAATATGCAATAAAAAATGACAAGTTTATTCACCAAAATCACCTCGAGTGCACCCTCTTTATTTTGGAATATATATATATATATATACATAAAAAAAATTTTAATACACTTATAATAATGGTGTATGTGTGTATAAGTACTTAAATCATATATATACACATATATCGCAGGCAGTCCCAAGGATCGGGGCCGCTGCCGTGGGACTGGCGGGGAGCAGATAATACCTAAGAACTGCAGGGACATTCTTTGGCGCCCACTGACATTTAGGACCGGCCTCTTATGGATGGCATAGAACACATGCTGTCCTTAAGGGGTTAAGTTAGCCTTCAGAATGAATGTATATGCTACAGAAATAGACACTATTTAATTTAAGGGATTAAGGATTCTGATACATTCTCACACAGCCAATTATGTTCCCTTTCACTCCTGTTAATCTTACATTTTCAAAAGTTGTCAGCTCTTAATACTGATTATATTTGAGTAGCTGTATTAGTCCAATAATGTGTATGCAGTAGTCTGGGTACCCTTTGTGTCATGGAACGTGGACAGGGCTGACAGCAACCTTGTCAGTTTCCAGGCTGTTTTGCCAGGATGACAGGACAGGTACCCAGTAGAAGAGCTTTTGGCCTAGACGGATGAGCTGGGCAGAGAGAGATGATGTGCCCTCTTTCTCCACAATAAAAACACAGGCCATGGACTCTCCTACGGTCTCTTTCCTCAGGAGGCAGCCTTGTTCAGATGAATCCGATCTCCATGGATTACTTGGGTACAGCCAGGGTGACCAGGCCGGTAGCTGATGGTGGGCTTGTACTGTAACAGGATAGAGTCATCTTTTTCTCTAGGTACCTGAGATCTGCGGGAACCTGGAGCAGGCTTAAGAGTAGCTTTCTTGGAGGTAAGGCACTGAGAGTCATTGCGGTTATAAATGACTCCCAGTCATCCAAGACAGCACTTTTCTCTGGCAGCTTCTAGTATGCCCATGCCTTCAGCCATCCGGAAAGCAGATTAACAGCAGAGCGGACTTTGACAAAGTCGGTGGCGTAGGTCCTTGGTTTTAAAGCAAACAGGACCTCATAATCTGTAAAGCACTTTACTATCTTATTTTAGTTCTAATTTATGAAAGTGCCTATTTCTATGAAAAATAACCATTTTTATAATTAAATTCTAAAACACCTCACTGGTTGTCAATCAGACAGTCAGAGGGGTTAGTTTCCTCCTCTATTAGCTCCACTGAGCTAACGGAACAGAATGTCTAATTGTGCTAGAGGGTGCCTGCCATCCCCTACAGGTGCCAGTGGGTGCACATTTACAGGGTTCAGCGATCTTACCTGTCCTCCAGACGCCTGCTCTCTTCTACTCAGCCACAGCTACCTCCTTGCTATGCATGCACAACCTCTAAGAGTAGACTCAGAGGTCCTTTGATGAGAAACCTATGATTGGCCATTTCATCAAAAAGGCGGGCGATTGCAAAGGCTGCAGCTTTTTCAAGCTCTTTCTAAAAGTACCCCTAGTGCCAACATGTATAACTAAATGTGCACATGAACCAATTATCATTAATCATGTTATCTACTGCTGTTTTTTCATAGGAGCCCTTAAACAGGTGGACGCAGGGGGTAATGTATTCCTAGGAGGTGTGAACAGCGCTGATAACATTTATTGCCTAAGCCAGGATCTCACTCTTTCCAAGGGGACATCTCTCCCTTTCATACAACTTGATGGAAGCTTGAAGTATTATAGCTGTGGTCGTTATAGTTGCTGGGGAGTGAACAGCAACAATGATATATTTTATCGTCTGAACGTTAGTCCAAATGATTGCAAAGGCAGTGAATGGAGACAGGTGGATGGGAACATGATTATGGTGGAAGTTGCCACAGATGGATCAGTGTACGGAATCAACACCATTGGCAACGTATACAAAAGGTAAATCTTTTAGCAGCAATAATGAAATAGGGAATATATACATTAAATATAATTAAGTATTAATTAGTGAAATAAGTCCCCCACGTACCTATGGATTAATTCCATTCAGGAGCTTGAATTCATAAAAAATTTTTTTTTAACAAAATCTGAAATTCATTTGTTTTTCAAGCATAGATAAAAAAAAACAAACAAACAAAAAACATTGTCAATGTATATTCATAACTAGATACAAATTTGTTCATTGTATTCTGGACATGGCAGGATTGGTTGTAAATTTAGTATGTAGTGTCACCTAAAAGGTAATCCAGGCATGATGGAGTAGGAGTCTAGACAAAGATAATTATAATTAATAATTGTACTTGTCTTTTTCCCACAGAGAAGGAATTTCTTTTTCGAACCCAGGTGGAACTGAGTGGTCTCTGTTGACTGTATATGGTCCCTTTAAGCATGTCTCATATGATAACGGAGTGCTATGGCTTCTTGATTCAGAGCGAAATATCTTCAAATGTGACATCAACTATTATTCATAAGCATCAATTTTCACAACACCTTTCTATTACTATCACTGAATCTGTAATCCTCTACTGTCTACTAGAGATTACAAGCAAAGTAAATCCTCTGTGAGTCCATCCTCGTTGTGAGCTTTTAATAGCAGTGATGAGATATGTGTCTGCTTTGGTGTGTGCGGGTTCTCAAACAAAACTATTGTAGAACTTTTGAAATGTCAATGATTTTCAAATAATCAGTAGAACATTGCTATCAATAAATGTATAAAATCAGTATCAATAAAATGTATGAGAACTATTTTTGTATACACACACATGAAAAAGCAAGAAATTTGACACCAAACAGTCATTAACCTAAAACATTAAAGGAACACTATAGGGTCAGGAACACAAAATGTATTCCTGACCCTAAAGTGAAAATTCACAATTTAGCCTCCTCAGAATGGGTTAAAAGTCACCTTATTTTCAGCTCTCCACGGGTCCGCCGGCACGGCCCCACCCCTTTGGTGACATCATCAGAATTGCAGGCAATTGGTCAATTATCTAAAAATAACTTAATATACAACTTATAATGAAAATGCCATTGGTGAACAGTTAGAAATGCAATTGGAGACAATTCTCTCCCTTGAGTAACAGCTCACCAATGGCATTTTCATTATAAGTTGTATATTAAGTTAATTTTAGATAATTGACCAATTGCCTGACTTTGTTTCTCATGTAGCACTCACTATTACAATACAAAATATCACCCCTTAAATCACAAGTGGAAAGACGTTTAGTGGGGAGGTAAAAAAACAAACAAGTATAGTTTACCTATATAATAATTCCCCACACTGTAGAATCTGACAAAATAGGACTCCTTCCAGTCCTCTCAACCCATATATTTAAAATATAAGAGCTACAGTTTGAAGAAAAATAAAGATCATAGGGTACTATCTAAAATATATCCTAAAGGGGTCTTCAAGGTTACATTCACAAAAACAAGTTTGATTGAAGGCACATCAATGGTAAAGTTGACAGGAAATCTTCCCCACGTTTATGGGCATGTAGGAGAGAAAAAATGAATACTAATAAGTGCGGACTACTAATATCCTGCTAGTTCGCTTAACATTAAAAACACGTAAGTCCATATAGAAGGATCTAAAATAGACCCACATCTAAGATTACTGGTATCGGGATAATAATAGAAGAGCTTTGTTAAATATTGCTCAATATGTAAACTAGAACCAGGAAATGTTTTTAATGTTAAGCGCACTAGCAGGATATTAATAGTCTGCACTTATTAGCACTCACTATTAACATTTCCTGGTTCGAGTTTACATATTGAGCAATATTTAATAAAGCTCCTCTATTATTATCTCGATACCGGTAATCTTAGATGTGGGTCTATTTTAGATCTTTCTATATGCACATAAGGGTTTAACCTTACAAGGTTGTTATTTTATTTACTTTATAGCACTTTTTTGAAGAATCTCTAAGGATATTTTTTTTTGGATACTGGTTCTGTACTGTACACAATACTAAGTATTACTCAGGGGCGGACTGAGAGCCTTTGGGGCCCCCGGGCAAAATTAGATCCCAGGCCCTTTGAAGGCCAAATATATGTGCATTAAATAAATGTTAAATATAACTCATAAAACGGCATTCCTTTGGATGTGTATATTGCGAAGACCTGTGTATCAATGCATGTTTGTATTTGAGTCTGTGTGAATGCACTTGTGCATGTCTGGATGACTACATGTGCTTTTTTGTATATAGTGTCTGTGTGAATGCATATGTGACAGGTGACAGAGTGTTTGAGGGAGAAGGTGACAGGTGGAAGAGTGTGGGAGGTTGTGACAGGTGGCAGAGTGAGGGGGTACCTGGTGGCAGAGTGAGGGAGGGAGGGGTGGGTTGGTGGCAGAGTGAGGGGGAGACACAGTGAGTGGTGGTGACTGGTGACAGAGTGAGGGAGTGGGTGACTAGTGACAGAGGGATGGAGAGGGGGTGACTAGTGACAGAGGGATGGAGAGTGGGTGACTAGTGACAGAGTTAGGGAATGGGTGACTAGTGGCAGAGTGAGGGAGGGAAGAGGTGACTAGTGGCAGAGTGAGGGAAGGAAGGGGTTACTAGTGACAGAGTGAGGGGATGACTGGTGACAGAGGGAGGGAGGGAGTGGGTGACTAGTGACAGAGGGAGGGATGGAGTGGGTGACTAGTGACAGAGGGAGGGGGTGACAGTGACAGAGTGAGGGAGGTGGTGACTAGTGACAGAGGGAGGGATGGAGTGGGTGACTAGTGACAGAGGGAGGGGGTGACAGTGACAGAGTGAGGGAGGTGGTGACTGTCACTAGTCACCACCTCCCTCACTCTGTCCCTAGTCACCCCCTTCCTCACTGTCACTGGTCACCCCTTCCCTCCCTAACTGTCACTAGTCACTAGTCACCACCTCCCTCACTCTGTCCCTAGTCACTCCTCCCTCTGTCCCTAGTCACCCCCTCCCTCTCTGTGTCACTAGTCACACCCTCCCTCACTGTCACTAGAGTGAGGGGGTGACAGAGTGAGGGAAGGGGTGACTAGTGGCAGAGTGAGGGAAGGAAGGGGTGACAGAGTGAGGAAGGGGGTGACACGTGACAGAGTGAAGGAGGTGGTGACTGTCACTAATCACCACCTCCCTCACTCTGTCACTAGTCATCCCCTCCCTCTCTCTGTCATTAGTCACACCCTCTCTCTGTCACTAGTCACCCCCTCCCTCACTCTGTCACTAGAGGGGATGACTGGTGACAGAGTGAGGGAGGTGGTGACTAGTGACAGAGAGAGGGAGGTGGTGACTGTCACTCTGTCCCTAGTCACCCCCTTCCTCACTCTGTCACTAGTCACCCCTTCCCTCCCACACTGTCACTAGTCACCCCCTCCCTCACTCTGTCACTAGAGTGAGGGGGTGACTAGTGACAGAGTGAGGGAAGGGGTGATTAGTGGCAGAGTGAGGGAGGTGGTGACTTGACTGTCACTAGTCACCACCTCCCTCTGTCACTACTCCCTCCCTCCTTCTGTCACTAGTCACCCCCTCCGTCCCTTACTCTGTTACTAGTCACCCCCTCCCTCACTCGGTCACCAGTCATCCCCTCCCTTTGTCACCAGTCATCCGCTCACTCTGTCAACAGTCACCCCTTCCTTCCCTCACTCTGCCACTAGTCACCCCTTCCCTCACTCTGTCACCAGTCATTCCCTCACTCTAGTGACAGAGTGAGGGAGAGGGTGACTAGTGACAGAGTGAGGGAGAGGGTGACTAGTGACAGAGTGAGGTAGTGATTAGTGACAGAGTGAGGGAGGGGTGACTAGTGACAGGGGAGGGTGACTAGTGACAGAATGAGGGAGGGGGTGATGGTCACTAGTCACCTCATCCCTCCCTCTGTCACTAGTCATCCCCTCCTTCACTCTGTCACCAGTCACCCCCTCCCTCTGTCACTAGTCACCCTCTCCCTCACTCTGTCACTAGAGTGAGTGGGTGACTAGTGACAGA